TGCAATTTAAATCATAAAGTGTTGATTTTTTGCTATATATTTTAATTTACTGGCTCCAGCCATCAAGAAGTCCTGCAAGAATGCAAGCTATACACAAGCCCACAGTGTAGCTGGATTATTTAAACCACATTATCTGGAAGTAAACTCAGGGAGGCCATGTGCGCCCACCCAAAATCTTGGACGTTATTTCTCATTGTAAGCAGATCTTAGTAAGTGCAAAATTATTGGCACCAATAAGAATGATTGCTTAATCTATAAAAACAAGGCCATAATTGTAATAAACCAGAATTATCCTTTAAAAAAAAAAAGAACAATATTTTATTCCAAAGCATCTCCGGGTACAGGGAGTGCATTTTTCAGATGGCTGGATAAACCATACAGAGTCGGTGTAACAGCGCAGATGCAGCATGTACAGTACATAACACCCACACAAGACACCCGCAGACAGTGACAGCATGGGAGAGAGAGGGAGTGAGTGACACAGACGCTGAAATAGACGGAGAGTAGGAGAGCTGGCATATCCTGGCAGGAAACGCAGCTCTGAGAATGGTAGTGACAGAAACACTAACAGGAAATCAACACTTAGTGTCATAATCAGTCTGTGATGTTGTCCCTAGCGGGCTGTCCTCAATATGGCCCGTCACAGTCAAATTGCATGAGACTGGCTTCAAGGAAAGTGGAAACCTAAGACATTAGACTGGGATGTGAGCTGAAATATAATAGGGGAAATAAATAATCAGGATTTTCCTTCAACAAAATATTTGTTTCATGGCATATCATGTGGATATTGATATCAGGTTATATCAACATCAAATGACATGAAGGTATAAATAATCTAAAAAAGTCCATGAAGTTATTTTTCAAAATAAAAAACATTCACTGTGATCCAAAGAAGAAGTTCATAAAGTAGGAGACCTGAGGGATTTCACTGAAATTTAGAAAAGAGATTCAGCTTATGTCACGAAGGGAAGTAAACAAACACAGGATACTGCTTTCAATAATAAGGTGCGCTGAGACTTTCAATTTCAATATGTGGGATGCAGGACGTTCCTCCTCCATATGAAAATGTCTGTCACATGTCCATATTTTTTCCTGTAGCCCATTGTAATGCTTGCACACTTGAACCCACAACAAAGAGCACTTAACTGCACGGATCATTCAGGAGTATGAGTAGCATGTTTAGTGAGTTGAACTAACAAGCAGGAACACGTCAGAGGAATCAAATTACTTCCTTTGCTCTTTACGCTCACATTTCTCAGAACAAAATCAGCGTGAAACAAACAAACAAAACCCGCCGTTTCAATGGTCTAACTTTTGGCCCGATGCACCATGATGTGTGAAACGCGGTGGTACGCGGCGGCGCTGCACACTATCACATGCTCGGTGGAGCACAAACTGGTAGCTTGTTAGGTAAAAGCTCAAAATTCGACTGTTAAACTGCACCCACAAAAACACCAAACAGGTGTCTGGGCTTTTTCTTTTTTTTTTTTCTTTTTGTGCCTGAGCCAATCTTTGAATTTTCATCTCAAAAGTAAGAAACAACAAATGTACCCGCAGCAGCAGCAGGAGGAGCATCTCCAGGTCCTAAAAAACAATCTTTATAACAGCTTTCAGGCTGTGCTCCTGTAAACAAAGATTAAAGCACTTTTCAGGCAGGGCACTTTATGAGAACTTCATATGTGCCTGAACTACTGAAAAAGCTTCTGCGCCGTTTGGAATGTAGGATGGCACACTGTGGAATCCCGTTAAATCTACCAATTAGTTTTAATTTTAGACGCACAAAATCATGACACACGCAACGTATAAATTACAGCTGAAGTTAGATTTGCATGAGAGGACTCTTTTCTACTGTAAGCGGATGTAACTGGTGAATTACTTCTATGTTTCTCCTGCAGCCATGATTCCTTTAGGATAACGAGTTCAGCTTTATTTAAGCATCACATGAAATTTAGGAGAAATTGATTTAATCTATATTATTAGGTATTAAGAAGAACTTTTCTGCTGTATGTATCTGTTTTGGGTTTGTTCAGTCCACAGGATTTAAATCATTCATTCTCCAAAAAGCTGAAACATTTTGTCACACCCTAACCCTAACCCTAAGAAACGGGAATTGAAACAAATCCTTGCATCGTATGCTAAAACCTAACCACCATACCGTCAACTCTCCCCACCCCCGCTCAGGGAGCACCAGGATGGGAAAGAGGATGCTTGGCGCCAGCTCTTGTATGACCTTACAAACCTTTTGAAAGTGCCATTAGCCAAAAGTGCCCGTTAGCGTCCACAATCAATATGTCATTTTGAATGCTGGCTCACTGTGGTGGTAAAACAGTTTCCTATCCAGACTGACGGGAAACCACATAAATGTGATGATGAAATGTGTATTGGGAATGAAAGAGTGACAATGCTGGAAGTAGAGCCCAGAGGTTTCTAAGCAGAGGTTAGGTAACTGCAGGGAAATTAGTCCAAATGTTGTCTCTTATTTAACTATTAGTTTGAATATTCTAATTCGAATAAGTATTTATATTTATATTCTAAAGTCAGGGTAAAGAAAAATTAAGTCATTGAGCCAAATTTTTTCAGTTGCCTCAACTGGATTTTCTTTTAAAAACAACTGACGAAGAAATTTGAACCTAAATTACACACTATATATATTTAGTTGATGCGACCTTCTTGCCACCTTGCAGCTCTGACTAAACCCAAGACATCAAAATAATGTTTGCAACTTAAAAGGTTTAATATAAATGAATAAATTAGATTTATTTATTTATTTTTTATCTTGCCATCATGCATCCATCAACTGATGGTAAGAGGTTCACTGAACTCACTTTTTAGACTGTGATTTATTAATAATGTGCTTTAAACTAACATGTTGTTTTGCTTTATGAAGAAAAAAAAGCACAAATAAACAGAAAATAAAGACAACGTGCAGAAACAAGCAGTTACTGACCAAATCAGTCAACTGACAGAAATATCATCAGCAACTAATTTGACTGATTAGACATTTTAGAGTTATTAGTCATTGCCTCGCAGCAAGAAGGTCGCCGGTTCGTGCCCCAGTGAGGACACCTGGGATCTTTCTGTGTGGAGTTTGCATGTTCTCCCCGTGCAGCGTGGGTTCTCTTCGGGTTCTCCAGCTTCCTCAAACAGTCCAAAAACATGTTGAGGTTAATTGGTGATTCTAAATTGTCCGTAGGTGTGAATGTGAGTGTGCTTGGTTGTCTGTCTCTAAGTGTAGCCCTGTGATAGACTGGTGACCTGTCCAGGTGAACCTGCCTTCACCCTGAGTCAGCTGGGATAGACTCCAGCCCCCCATGACCCTCCTGAGGATTAAGCGGTGTATAGATAATGGATGGATGGATGCCAAGACAAAAATTAAGAAAGCTTTGAGATGTTTGTATTGTTACCAACCTGTGGTGGTAACAAAAACACGATGCTGCAAAGTAATACCCCGTGACCCTAGTGAGGATTAAGCGGTGTATAGATGATGGATGGATGGATGGATGGGTGCAAATTTCTAAACATTTATCGAATTCACTGGAAAGTGAGCATGTTTTGGTTTTGAATTTTTGCTTGAACAAGAAACGATATCTGAAAACGTCACTGTGGGCTCTGGAAGTTGGGATTGGCCATTCTTCTTTCTTTCTTTCTTTCTTTTTTGACATTTAATTGTAATTCCATACCATGTAATTGCTTGATTGATTGAATTGAGCGATTTTTCAGCTATTAATCACCAGATAAATTAATTAATAACAATCATTGATAGCTCCAGCCCTACTGGTGTCTTATTAGTGCAGTGAGACAGCCTTCTGCCCTTTCCTTCAGCTTTGCCTCTGGGAATCAGTGTGTCTTGTAGTTGTACTTGCAGTTAATGGGTTGATTTTCTGCGATGGTCACTTCCACTTCGTGAGGCGAAGTGTGACGAGAGGACCAGAAGTGTGAAGTATATTGGATTACATATAATTTTCAGTATATCTAACAGTCCAAAGAAAGTGAGGGGAGTTATATGGCTGAAGAGACTAAATGATTTTTTCCCCCCCTTTCTTTCCCTTTTCACACAAACTGACATTTAAACTGTCAATGAGCCTGAACTGTTGTTTCTGACTCTGAGCAGCTAATTAAATTCTTCAGAAGATTTTTTTGCTGGCCCTTCACTTGATACACATAAAATACTCATGAAGACAGTTTGGAGCAGGCAGTGGGCGATGTGGTGTAATGTGCTGCTGAGTTTCAGAACTGAGGCAGCATCTTCAAAAACTGTGTGAAGTCAAGATTCTGTATCGTTTCCAAAAAAGAATCTCGGATCAGCGTCTGGCAAACAATGATGGCTGAGGGCTCAAGCTGCGCCTCATTTGAACATGTGCACCATCAGCGGGAGCCGATTCCCAAATGTTGGCCAGTGTTGTCGCCACGCGTCACCCACTGACACACAAACACAGGTAACAACTTGTTTCCACAAGAACAGAACTTGGCACCGTTTGAAAGATCACTCTGTTAAACGGTGGAACATTGTTTTGGCATTGCACTTTAGCAGTCAGAGTGGTTGTCTACACCTCATCAGTAGGTAATGCTGCAAAAACAGGGGACGTTTGCAATCGACTGCAATAAAACGAAACTGGGGGTGATGATGAAATGCATCCTTCTACAGGTTGCAAATATTAAATATACCCGATTAACAGCATAATCAGAAATGTGCACAAAGGAAGGATACATTAATACTACAGCCAAAGTCTCCACTATGCATTTCCATTATTCTTCCTATTTTTTTGCTTCACCTGAACTAAATGACACAAGACAAAAAGTTGCTGCTGCCAAATGTGATACGTTTGAGTAATCAAAACTGGTCTTACCACCACAGAAGTGCCTTCAAGGAACAAGTTGGCTCTGAGCTGTAAAGTTTTTACAACTCCATCCTAACCATCCCCCTCTGCTCTTGAACGATTAACACTGACAACACCAACGAGAATCACAGGATGAGGTGGCAAAGATGTCATAAACAGCAAGTCCCCGCTGAAGAGAAAAAGAAAAAGTCCAACATAACAGCCGGCTGGTAGCAGTCACCCTGGATCATCTCCCAGCTGTGTCCTCTCCTGCTGCAGCTCAGATACTCATCTATCCCCCTGCTGACACGCTTCCTTTTGCTCAGTTCAGCCCTCCCCGGAAGACAAAGGGGGACGGACTCTGGGGAGACACAACGCTGCGTTTTAAGCAGGAGAATGAACGCAGAAGCCGAGAAAAGTTGGAGGTAGTTTGGTGCAGAATGAGGGGAATGCATTGTTCTTGTGTTTGGGTTTAAGTTGGTTGGGGTAAACCTATAAAAATGTTTTGCACTGAACTCAGAAGAACAGCCACAGTGCTGAAAGTGTTCAAAAAAATAAGCGTGGTCTAAAAGCATAATATCTGATGCCTTCCTCATAAATAAAAAGCTGTGTAGCGGTCATGATTCGAATGCAAATTAATGCTGCAAGACATCAGAGAAGGTCAAGTGGTCTACCTCGTTTTAGGCCACTGACACAAGATTCACGACTACATTTGGAACACGTTGGAAAATAAAAACTCTGGAGAGCATCAACAGATGCTGTAAAGTGTTAGTTTCAGGTTTTATATAGAAACTGTCTGTACACAGTTTAAATCACAAAACAACCTTTTGCAGACACACATATGCAGCGCAGATGTGCGTCAGGCCTGTGAGTCAGAAAGGGAGAGATTGCAGCTGGAGTTAATGATGATGCTGGACAACCACTATTTTCACAAATGTGTACTAAAACTGAGGAAAATAATCTGTATCTTTAGTCTGTTCATCAGTAAACTGTGTTAAACAAGTAGTCCTAAATAATGAGAAATATACCTACAGGCCAGTTTAAGTTCAACAATGCGCCTACCAGCAGCTCTACATCTGATGAGTTAAAGGTGGAGTCTGTGATTCTGGAGAAAGGCTGTTGATACTTGGCACATTTTACTTTGAGAGTTAAAATGCACCAAATTTATTGCCCCTTTCCCTTTCATCTCTCATTCCTTCCTTTTGTTTTCTGCATGAGCATAAATGTGCACAGGACTTTGTGGAATAGTGTTGTGTGGATTTATCTGAGACACTTTGTTTTCCATTTACAGCCACAGATGTCTACACAGCGAGCCGACCGGGAGGAGACTAAATTTTTACATATAAATTGTTTAATGTGCACACAAACCGAAATGTTAAAACAACAAATTGTCCTTTAAGGTGAATGTTGTTTCTCAGTGAAGTCCTGGACTTCCTGTGGTCTCTTCACCACGGTGCTGTTGCCAGGTTACCCAGCATCGTAGTTGGAGATACACAAAGTACAGTGCTAATTGATGAAATGCTGTTTGTCAGTCCGTCGACTTTTCCCCTCAAAGTGTAACAATAAAAACCAAGAGCAACGTCTTCCATTTCGTCAGCTGTGGCGAAGGAAGCGTGGGAACTGATTAACCACAGTCAACAATACATTCACATCACAAGAATGCTAAATGTGCTTTCTAAAGGGAACCTTGAGTGAGAAGTGATCCGTGTGGGACAGATTAAAAAACGGAAGATTTACAGTTGTACTCAGAAGGGCTTCCTGATTAGAGCATTACAATAGAGTGCTAGAGCAACGCTGAGCATAAAATCACAACCTTATCCAATGGGGACATTTTCCAAAATGCAAACAGTGACGACAGTACGGTGTCATTATCAGGCAGACATCACTGTCATTTCTCCACTCATCCCCAGCACTGTGATCCTGCTTCTACTTTGGGAAGCCTTTGGCCAATTTAGAGTCAGAAGCCTGTAATCTTGGTGTAATCTCTGATCCAGACGTGTCATTTGATGCTCCAGCTGCAAAAGTGCTGCAATCATCGTCACTTGAGGCTCATTGCCAAGATTTAGATGTTCTTCTGTCACATATGGTTTTTCCATAAATGTTTATTTGGTTAGAAAATCCTAAAATAATATCTCCTCCCTCTGATTAAAGATGAAGATATGTTTATTATAAAATATTTGACTACTGGGCACCAAGTGCTTTCTATACAAGTGAAAGACCATTCTCTGTGCACATGCATTTCAGTTTTATCACACTCGTGTAGGAAGACTATAAGTCCAGGATTGGATTCCAAACTGATGCTCCAAAATGTGTTTGCAGGGACATCCCTTAAACTGAGATTTTAGGTGAGCACAAAGAAACTTTCCACTTTCAGCAGAAGGATTGGAAAACAGCCTTCCAGCTGCAAACATACATCATTCTGTACATTGAATGTCAACTATCCAAGCAAAAAAATCGAAGCAGCAAAAAAAATGACCAGAACACATTTCTGAGAGGAGGGAGAGTCTAAGGTTCTCTACTTTTGCGAGGTCCTGCATCCACATCACTGACATTTAATTTATGAATTAACAATGTGTGCCAGAGCTGTTTCTCATCACATCATTTGATATTTATTCACATTTAAATTAGGTACAGGGATTTAAATACATTTACTGTATCGCTGATGTGTGTTGCACTTTTAGACTAAGATCAGTTTTGGGATCAATACGGGTTTAAATTTAAATCTTTTTGTCATCTTGTGTAAAGTGTAATTACTTAATTATTGTTATGATGTCCTTGTACTTTCTTTTCTTTATTTTTTGGATGCTGCTGTGGCGTGTAAATTTCCTCCAGTGGGGGGATCAATAAAAATTATTCTCTTCTATTCTATTCTATTGATATTATGATACATGTTTATTTCATGTGCAATTCTAATGAAACTATGATCTTCCCTTTAATGATGAATGCATCCATCCATCATCTATACACCGCTTAATCCTCACTAGGGTCATGGGGG